CCGAGCCCCCAAGGTCTGGAACAGCCTGCCATCGGAGGTGGTTCAAGCACCTACATTGAACACCTTCAAGAGTAAATTGGATGCTTCTCTTGCTGGGATCCTATGACCCCAGCTGACTTCCTGCCCTTCGGGTGGGGGGCTGGACTCAATCTTCCGAGGTCCCTTCCAGCCCTAATGTCTATGAAATCTATGAAAAGCACTCGTGTATTGTTTCTAGAACTCTTCCACAGTGGCAGTGGAAGATACTGGCTGCACTTCATTCTTCCTTTCTAAAACAGTTTCATTGTTCTACTATTTTGAAAACACCACACAGAACTCAGTGTTTTCCTTTGGCTCCACTCTATTTCTGCCATTCAAAAGTAAAGTGAAGCAGAAATCTTACATTCCACTCACAGCAAAGAAAAAATGGGAGGAGATGCATACGGTGAATAAACAAGTTAGTCTTATGTAAGAGTTTAGCAGCTGTAAAAAGGAAGCACTCTCATTTTAAAGGAAATCCAACCCCACGGCACACAAGCACCAATAATCCTGTCCAGTTACTGGAGTATAAGCAACCACTTCATTGTGGAAACAGAGAGAAGAAAAGCCTGGAACATGAATGCAGTGCACGAAGCCTGCTAGCATGCAGCAAAAAAACCCAAAAAACTGGTTCCACAGTTGGGAATTTGTGCACAATTTCTGTTTCCCAGGAATTAGGGCAATGTCTAGTTTTAAAATGATCAAGCTCGAAGGTTTTGTACAAAAGCCAAGTACAAACCTATCCTAAAATATCGTAAGGAACAAACTACCCTTCTAAAAGCTTCTTGTTACAGGGCCTGTTTTGGTCACCCCCCTGAGACACTGACTGCACTGGAGTTACTGTGCAGTAGCATAGCTGAACGGCTTTTAGGTGATGCTGACTGCGCAGTAGCTCATTACTACTGTGCAGTAGTACTGCATCACACTTTGTGCCACGTGACGCTACTGTGCGGTCAGCATCTCATGTAGACATAGCCACTGAAAAGATTCTCAGTGCTACCCAGCTTCTTGAATACTATCTGACTGGCTGGGCCAATTTACAGAAGGGATAGTGTTTAGTTCTCTTTAGTTTAAAAGATGTTCACAAATATTTAGACAAAGCATTCTAGTATATTTGGGGCTATTGTAAAGGGAGGAAAGTGAGGTGTAATCTAAGAACAGAACTAAGAGCCAGAATGCTGGTCTCAGTTCTTCCATGGATTGCCTTAGTGACCTTAAATCACCTTAGCCATGCTATAGCCCATTTGTTTGCAAAAGAATAATGCTACATATTTAACTCAGTGAGACTGTATGACACAAGTATTTACAAATTGCTTTGAGAGACTCAGTTCTGTTGTGAGCTTATTTTCTTTTCCATGAAGAACCTGCAGCTAGGTCCAGTTTTGATCTACCTACAGATCAAACTCTGAAAATGTTCACAGGTCTTTCAACCAACAAGTAATTGAGTTTGTTTGTGTGTCTAACACCTCCAATACAGCAGACAATTTACCTAATCAAGATGCCAAATCCTTTGTAATACGTTGCCACTGTTTATAGCAGTTTTATTTTCCCTGGGTCAAACTTGTCCCCACAGGAAACAACATAATCATAAAACAAACAAATACCTAAACAATAAAGGGTTAACTTGCATCCTGCAGTCCTTTCCCAGACCCTGAGGGCACATCAAAACGAGGGCCCATGTGCTGCATACAGCACCACAGACCCACAAGCCTTTTCAGTTGTTCAGAGAGAGATCGTTATCACCATTCACCATCATCAGGCCTAACACCATACTTGGAAGCTTAGAGAGAAATTGCTTCAGTACATACTCAGGTATATTAGTTCAGTTTTCTAGGACAGCCTCTGAAACCAAGTCTAGAGGGGTCCCACACCACCATTCTTTAAATAATGTTTCTTTACCCACAACTATATCCTGACTAAAACCAAAAAAGTCCTTGAATTTAGATTTTAGCCTTCTTCTCCCCCATTCCTAAGAAACAACATCTCCCTATTAAGACAAGACCCTATTAAGAAGTGATAGATCTCACGAAAGGGATTAGAAACTTCTATTAAGACAAAGTGGAAGAGAGAGAATACAAAATATGTATTCTGCATTTGTACTGGTTGCTATTCCTAAACCATCCCAGATAGATCCTTGTTCAGCCTTTTCTTAAAAATGAAAGAGAGGGCACAACTTCCTTAGGCAGCTTGTTCCACTGTCTTCCAGTTCTTACAGGTAGGAAGTTTCTCTGAGATTTAAACTATAGCAAAGCAGCTTTAGATTAAAACTGCTGCTTCATGTTCAGCCCACTGTGGCAAAGGACAACAGTCATTCTCCTTTTTCTTCACGGCAGCATTTCAAATATTTGAAAACCATTATCATGTCCCTTGCTTTAATCTTCTTTTCTCCAAGCTAAACAAACACAACTTTCTCAACTTTTCCTTGTATAGCCTGAACGCCCTTTCATCTTTGTGGCTCACCTTTGGATCCTCCCCTGCTTCTTTACATTCTTCAAATGCAAAGCCCAGAACTGCCCACAGTCGTCTAGCCCTGTAGTAGACAACCTTTTCCAACTATGACTCAGAACAACCCACCCCGAGTCAGACAGACAGATAGGTGGGTGCTAGGACCCACTTACAGCTGGTGTTTGTCCCTGCAGCAGCAGTGGGAGAGTGCCCACAGCCTAAGACCCCTACCTGCCAAAGCCCCACATATGGAGGGCCAGACCCAATGGTTCCACAGATCAGATCTGGGCCATGGTTTGCTGACCCCTCCTCTAGTCTAATCAGCATGAAGTAGAGTATTGTCCTGTGTCTTGCTTACAATATTTCCATGAACAGTCCAAAACGGCATTTGCTTTTTGTGTGACAGCATCACACTGATGTTGACTCTGTGATCTGTTGTAACCTGCAGATCCTTTTCAGCAGGGCTACTGCCTAGCCAGTCGTTGTTTTGTATTTGTTTATTTTATCTTTCTTCTCCAAGTCAAGTACCTTACATCTGTCTCTATTGATCTTAATTTTGCCATCTAGAACCCAATTGTCTAATTTATCCAGATCTTTCTGAATCCTACTCTTATCCTCCAAAGTGTTTGCAACCCTTGCCTGCTCCGTCTTATCTGCAAACATAATTGGGAAGCTTTCTTCTACATCCAATTTATTAAATAAAATTGTTAAGGAACACCAAACCCAGAGCAAACCCCTATGGAAAATCATCACCTAGCTCAAACTGCAGTTGCTGTAACAGGACTTCTAATATGGAACTTGAGAAATCATACAGTGCAACAAATCATACTGTGCAACACTGTCTCACGCTTCAGACACATGAGAGCTCTGGAAAAGCAAAATCTTACTCCTCACCTAGGCAGAAGCTATAGGGAAGTTCCAACACTGCTTCAGAATTGAGATGTTTTTGATGACAAGCCCCAACAGTTCTCAAAATCGATGCAAAAGTCAATCTATCACACTTCTTTATAGCTCTAATGCTCTCTACTGGAATTAGTCTCTTTGGATGCTGACAGAAGCAGGGGGACGCACTTTACCAGAAGCAGCAGCACATTACTTTGACCACTTCTGCAGCATCTGTATACATTAGGTGCTTCAGTAGGGCTTCTGGGTGCTTTTGGCTAAGTCAACCAGCTATTAGATGAAAGCACCAAAAAAGCCCCACTAAAGCACTTGATATATACAGAGACATTGGAAAAGCCAGGTACAACTAATGTGCTTCCTCGTCTGGGCATGTGCTGGGCTCGGCATGGGAGTATGTTGAATTTAAAGGATTGTTTTGGGGTTTCTTTCCATGTCTGCAAGCAGCCTTTGGGACCATTGATTACTGTCAGGGACAAAACTAAAAAGGTGTCCCCCCCATCTTCACTAGCTCTGAGTCTTCAAGAGGCCAAGAAGCAATAAACTCCCTCCTTCTCCAACTAACTTTATCAAGTCCACATAAAGAGTTGCAGCAGTTTTAGTGGTTAAATCTGCTTACTTCATATAGCAAGTAACAAAACTAACTTTGAGTGTCTTCCCAAGCTGGTAAAAGATTTGCTGGAGACTGACCATTTCTATTCCTTCCTTTGGCAGATATCAGGGTCTATCTCACTTGACTGAAATTTCAAAGACCATTTTAAAAGATCCAATATTATTTTGATATTAACAACAAACAACACCCAAACTGTCACATACGTCCACTCTGACATAGTTTGAAATGTAAGAAGTTCAGTTTAGCCCCTGACTACACATGAAAAGCAGAGGTTTTGAACAGAGTTCAGTAGTAAGAATGGGACACAGTTCTTAACTTTAGGTCATAAATCCAGCAGAGGAAGTGACTTGAGAATTTCAGTCTGAAGAGTTATGAAGGCAGCACCTTTCACCAAACTAAACTCATAAAAACAGAAAAAGATACCCCAAGGAACCTACAGTCATCATCATTTTAAGACTGTTTAGTTAAAGTTCAAACACCATCTAACTAACAACCAAGGCTCAAACACAAGAGAATTAATGTTCAAAGCCTGAAAGCATCCTAACTCTCTAAAGCCATGCAAGGCCAGTGGTTCCCAACATTTTTTTGCTACAACCCACTGCTGAGAACGCAACGCAGCAGTGGTTGCAGCCTGGGGGCGGGGAAGCTCCTGGCATGTGGTGTGGCTTGCCTTTTGTATGCAGCACCACCGGCATTGCCCCCGTGACCCTCATTTGGGTTGCAACCCACCAGAGGTTGGGAACTGATGATGTAGGCATAAGCTGCATTTCTCAGGAAAGTCTTATGCTAGAAGTCATGCTGTCAAAGGCATGTAATCCTATTTGAATATAAACATCAACTATAAAAAGTTATCAGGCTTTTCACTGTATTTCAACATACTTATGAGGATGCCCCTGTAGTTCTCTCTCAGGAAGAGAGGTATAATCATAACATCCATGGATATATCAAGCCAAAAAGTTTAATTACATACAAAGAGGAGCTAGTTTTCTGTTTGCTGGACATGTGCATCATTTGTATTGCTCACCATGTGTAAAGCAGATCAGTATTTCCAATAAGCCACATGAGTTCTGTTTATGAAATAGCAGCTAGAAGGTAGAGCCAAGCTAATGCAGTTGGGATGAAGCAGGAAGCCAGGAGCAATCCAACCTGAAAAAAGTGTGAAAAAAAATGAGTAGCTATAATAAATGTCTAAAGACATATATGAATTTAAATTAGTAAATTGCCCGCCATGAATGGCCCGGGGGGG